ATGACTTGATTTGAGGAAAGTTTGAAAAAGTAAAAATCCAAATTGATGAATGCAACATTGCTGTAGCCTACTCATCACTTGAATAACAATAAATATTAAATGATGCACTATTCTAAACTCAAATCTCTTATCAGGCCTGCTCAAATGACATCGTTCTCTCCTATTCAATGTATGAATTCTGCTGAATTCACATAAATCAGGCCAAATCTTAGTTTCCCAATAACATGATGCTCTTGAGCCAATTGTTGTTTTTTAGTTTAACTCGGGGCTTGTTTGCACCAGCCCTTTGCACCAAATTAGACCAGATGTTGAAGTTAAATGTCCAGATGATGTCAATGTATTTCCAGACCTTAATATGGGGTAAGCCAGGTTAACCCAGTTTAATCTCTTGTTAAGCAAAACTGGGGAATGTTCCAGATTTTCAGTGAAACTCCAGACAGCATGGCTGACTCCAAACCAAACCAATCTGCTGTCTACATGTGCTGGTGCCATGAACTCCTTTTACCTGTGCTTGGAAAAGGAAATGGATTGGTTCCATGCCATTCCCTTGTCATTGCAGCAAACAGCCACGGAGCTCTGGAGAACTCCTGGGCATCTCTGGTCATTTTGCTAACATCTGCAAAGGATGTCTGTGATGACTAGGTGCTGTCCCAGAGATCCATGGCCATCCAGCAGCAGCCAAAGGAACAGCAAAGGTAAAGTAATGGTCCAGTGCTGTTAAAGAGGAATCCACATGGTCTGGTTTAACATCATTGGACCATGTGGGCTCCACCTCTCTGCCATTGTGGGATGAACTCAGAGATTGTAGCATTGGAGTGCCCAAGATTTTACTGTAGGTACAAATGAGCCCTTATTTTACAGGATTGATCTTATAAAGGAATTGGAATGACGTAGGGAAAATATATACTTCAGTTCCACGAAATATGATTATCATAAAGCAATTTATGTTCTCCTATGGCATTTTAGAGTGTACTATGCACATGTAGCTGTGTGTAAGTCCTGTTGATTTAATTGGGAATTCTCAGTCAAGATGTGTATGATTTCATAGCTTATATAATGGTGCAGAATTAAAAAGGACCTCTCAAAGTTACTAGGCAGTAAAATCTCCCTTAGTGTTCAACCACTTGAAACTACAGTTTCTTTCTCGTGGCACTGTGCAGCCTTGGCATACAGAGAGGATTTGTATCTAAAGGACGGTGTTCTGAAAAGAAAACCAGCAAGTCTACACTTTCAAATTTAATAGTTATGAAAATCATAAAAACAAATAAAAATCATAACTAAAGGGAGAAAAACATTCATATTAGGGATGCTTTTCAGGAATACCGATCCTTTTGAGAAATTAGAGATAGAGGGGATCAGTGTCTCTATGAGAAAGAGACCAAGAGAACACGTGGTGCACAATTCCAAGGGTGCTGTTATTCAAAGGACACCTCATTCAAAGGACATCTCATCAAACCTCTCTTAACAGGCAGAGCTCTCCCCTTCCCCAATTTTTACAAATTGTTTCAGAAGTTTTTACATTTTTAATATAGAAGAGATTGCAGCAGTCTGCATTTTCCAGAGCCCACTAGGAAAGGCAGTTTCCTTCCCCTCCTTGCTGAGAGAGCAATGAAGGGGAGAGGAAACTACTTTTGTACTTTGGCATGGGTTTCACCAACTGAAAGAAGGATATGAAATGAGGAGAGAAAAACTAGGAAATTTTAAAACATGCTGAGAGAGCGGGTCATCCTTGCTACACCAGGACCATTGCATCCTCTGCTGGGATCACACCCAAGCAATACATGGATTGTCATGCGCATAGCTCATGCTTTTAGCAATATAATACTTCAGTGAGGCTATCTGCATGTTATGTAGATCATAGAAGCAAAAATACATTGACAAAAAGGGATAAATGAGTGATATACATATAAGCTATAGTCCAGCATATTCTACACTTCTTTGTTGCTTTGCTTAATGCTTTGTTGCCATTTGATAATGTGGATAGGGTCATTTCTTCCTTGTGGATGCACTCATTTGTTGTGCTCATTTGTTTCCAAGATCTTTCATAAACTTCTACATGTACAGTAACCTTTCCCTTTGTTTGCTGTATTTATTTTGTTTTGTTCAGTGATGTTTTGATAATGGAGTTTCATTTCATTTGTGATCTCTTTAAACAAATTCTTTTTTCCTTCTTTCCTTGCTCCCGTCTTTGTCAATTCTGTGTTTCACCTTAGGCTGTTTCTGTTTGCATTTCTTTGCTTTGCGTATCCAGCATCTCTGGTTCTTCCCTATGTTTATTCAAGTACACTTATTCTAATGTTTCTACTTGCTTTCTCCTTGAATAACTTTTTCCTCTTTCCTCATCCTAATAAAAGAGGGAACATCCTTCATTTTCCCCATTTATTTCTCATGTACATTTTGAATTTTCTGAGCAAGCCTCCTTTATACTAAAAGATTTTGGCCCAGTTTGGGAGAGAATGACACATTTGTTTCTGATTCCAGACCTGCAGGGATAGCGAGACAGCTGCTGAACACTAATAGCACTAGTTCACTTTGTAATTGCTGACCCAAGCACAAGGCACAAGCAACAAAAGAAACACGAAGCTGAACTTCCCAAGCACCTTCAAGTATTATGGAATAAAAAACAAGTGGGCACAAAGAAAGCAAGGTGACCTGGATTGCTCTACTGGAATTTAGAAAAATGGCTATTTGGACTACAACTGCCAGCAACCCTTGTCAGCATGATCACAATGGCCATGTTGGTTGTGGGCTGTCAGCATTTGTTATCCCAAAATGTAATGTTTCCAAGCTGTATTCTGTAGTGGGCACTCACATTTTGGAATAAATTTCTTGGTTAATATATCTGTCTCATGGAGGCTTTCCTTTGATAAACATAAGTTAATACTTGAGTTCACAGGGAATACAAGGTGCTGTTGGCTATATTTCAAAGAAAGGCAATGGCCACTTCAGAGTACTTATGAAATTTGTGGGGTTGACATAAATTGACATGTGGTTTGAAGATATGCACACACTACACGAAATCTTGTTGGTAATCACAAATTGAGCAGACCTATTGAGTCGAAGTTTACATGGTGAATAAACAGTTTCCATTGATTCAATGGTTAGGCTATAGTTGGAACTAACATTCAGATTTATGCCATAGCCAGTTAAATGTCTTTCAGACTGAGTATAGATTCAGGGATAATTTCCAGCTAAAAAGCTGTACACCCTGTACTTTTTTGATATGTTTCATGTTAGGACAAAAATGTGCTGAACAGCCTCACATGAAAAACCCACTGGATACATTTAAAACACTCAGAAAAAAACACTTTCGTCAGCATGGATATGCATTTGCTTCTGTGTCCCTTTGAAATGAGCACACAAAAATACAAGCATTTTTCCCCTCTGGAAAAAGTGCTTGCCTGAATTGAACTTTCGATGCTATAGTTCACTGTAGTTTAAATTCATTGTTGTTTCAACATTACTGCATTTATTCCTATTTTGTTTCACATTAATTGTTGGCGCATTCATTTTATTTTTGTTTTCAATTGCAATACCTAATAAATACATTTTGAGATAGCTTTAATAAACAAGAACCATACTCAGAAATATGTTAATAGAACAGACAATCCAGTATCATTCTAGAAGCTCTGAAGTCATGGCCCCAATGTCTGATTCCCCAACATTTTCTTTTGCTTTCCTGGAGATGTTTATATTTTCATATTTTATCCTTTACAATAATGTGTAGGATTGTTTTTTTAAAAAAATCAACACGTGCGGTACTCCCTGGAAGACCAAAAACATAAACAAGAAGAAAGGAAAGGAAAGGAAAGGAAAATCACATTTTTCTTAAGATGGAATTTAAAATAATTTAAATAGGATTAAGATAAAATATTAGTTTAGAAAAGAAATAACCATATTATTAAAAATACGTAAAACAGTTAAAACATATTTAAAACATTTACAATAAAATGTCAAGTATATAGTATACCATTTTGCACATACACTGCTGGTTCATAGTTAAAATTCAAAGACCTGTCTGAATGAAAATGTGCTGGCAGAAAGAGAGCAGGGAGAGGGCCATGAAAAGAGGATCCATAACCTGGAAGAAGCAACCAAGAAGGTTTTTCTCATGTCCTCACCAAACACACCTATGAAGGGGATAGGACCTAGAAAAACCTATCTTGCATGTTTGCAATATAAATGAACTCATAAAAAGGTAATTCTTATTTAAAGCCAAGAGTGAACAATGATACCTGTTCACATTTTTCTTTGTGATGCTTTCTGACTTAGCAGAAACAGGTGGAGCAGAAGCACCTTAAAAAATAAATAAGACAGTAGTAAATGGATGAAAATGAAATTCTGAAATACTGTGTGGACCTTGCTGTGACAAATGATCAGTGGAAGAGGAAAGGAGAGACACAAGGAAGGGAGAGAAACGTGGCGTATTTCAGAATAGGGTTAGACACAAACTCATGCATATGTAGGTACAGTCAAAACCAAAATAATAGAAAACTCTCAACACATTAAGATAGTCTGATTGAGCTCTTAGATCCCTTTCCATTTTCTGTGTGTCTGTCCATCTAGGCATTCTTTCTCTTTGTGTGTATGTGTACTCTTTCTTTTTCCATCATCCATTTTTTGATTCTTTTACATGTTTTCTTTCTCTATTATGTTTTCTCTATTCTCATCGTATTTAGTATGTCTACTCTTCTCTCTCTTTTTTTCTGATTGCCTTCCCTTGCCATATGTAACGTTATTTCAATAAAATGCAGTGGAAGAGAATTAGTTGGTTGATACACCTAAAGGGTAGTATTTAAATGAAACTGCTGTCAATAGAAACTAACATCAGTCCAGTTACTTCCCAAGGAGTACCTTCAGAAGATGGCCTATAAATGGAAAAGAAGCAACTATGTCTGTTTTCAATGGAAAATAGTACTACAGAAGCAAAGGCCACTGTGGCAGTAAATTATATCTTGTGGGATAACATTTAACAGATTCTTTATCTTTTTTTGGTAAAGGACGAGCCAACCACTGGTCTGCGATCATCGGTGGATCTCATTCAAAGAACTACGTGCTTTGGGAATATGGAGGATATGCAAGTGAAGGAGTTAAGCAAGTTGCGGAGCTGGGATCACCTGTAAAAATGGAAGAAGAAATTCGGCAACAGGTAATTGCAGTACAATCAGTTAAAAAAATTAAAAGTCCATGTCTTGCATGAAAACATTTAATGAAACAGATTTGACAGCTTTTGTTACTCTGTTTCTCAGTCTCTGTTTTAACAAACCTTTAAATTTTTCCTGAATAATGATTTTGAGATTTAGTCCTCTAATTGAAGATTCACTAAAGGCCACATTTGATTCACTCCCTTCTTAATGAAACATTGAACCATAGACTTTGTCAGTAGATGTGACTTGGGAATTTTCTGCATAGCATCCTTAACATTTCATTTTCATTGAAATCAATGTTAACTTAATATGCAGGTGGTGTACAGTATCTGTAAATGATCTAAAGCTTCTGAGATCAATGGAGGCTTACTGTGTAATTGTGCCACACCATTTGCAAAATATGCAGCTGGAAATTAGTATGGCATATGAATTCCCACACTTTACACCATCCTGCATTGAAGTGAAGTCAGATTTCTGAGTGGAAATAAAATTGCAGTTCTACAAATAGATCTTAAATACTTGTAGACATACTGCATAAACTTGGTTCTTGAAAAAGAATCAATATCGTAGTCTCAAACTCTTATATAAGTTCCTTCTAACATATATAGTGTTAACTACAGAAGAATGGCTGTATGTGGAAACAAATTAAGTGTTATATGTGGCAAAAGAGCCAAATGAGTCATATTATTTTGGAGAAAATGGAAGGTGTAGTAGCTGTATGCTGGTACACCAGGAAGAGAGATTTATATTAATGATGTCTGGACTGGAACTTCCTCTTGTTGTTGGGGTACTTCAAGTCGATGACATTGAAGATGCTGACATGATCCTTAGTTCAGTCCTTGATATATTGTTGAGCAAGGGGTGAAGCTTGTGTTTAAAGTGTTTTGCGTGTTTTCTTAATGGAGATTGCAGTCACAGTTCCAGAGATTGAAAAAGTTTTCTCTAGAAATATAATTATTGCCTTAAATTCAGTTATTAGTCTCAACCAGATTAGATCAATTGAATCTATGGAACGGGTTTAAATGTTGGCTTTGGAATTTTGAAAGTTGTCTTCCCTTGATTCCAGATAAAAATTCTGGGATTTGTAGATCTTCAAGAAATTTTTCCAAGCTCTCCCCAGTTTAGCCCAGTTTGTAAGGAGAATCAGTGTGAAATGGAATTCTGTTAAATGATTAGGTCTGGGCAGTTTTTACAAGCTTGGCTCCCATTATTACTTTAAACTCATGCTTCCAGCTTGAGAAGTTTGCAGTCTGCATTTCTTTTAAGTTCATTCTGGACCTCATAGATTGAGGAATCTGTCAGATTTTATTTTTCACTTGGCCTTTCCATGCTGTGATTGTGAATTGCTTATATACCAAGTTTCATGTTTTTTTCTTATGCCTACTAATCAATTTTAAAACCAGGCAAATGCAACATTAAATTGCACAATTGCATTATCTTCCTCAGCTTTGGTGGTGCTTTTTGTTTTTGTTCTTATCAACTTTATTTACATCTCAATTATTAAAGCCATAGTGATATAATTGTATAGTATGAAAAGGTCTTCAAGGTCAGAGTGTGATTCTTTTTTGGGAAAATGCTGTGAAGATCTATATTTTTCTTTCTTTATCTCAGGCCAGCTAGTTTAGGGCACATGGAAGTTACACCTTCATATTCTCACCACTGTGGTGGATAAGGTCCAGGTTATTTGGCTGACTGCATCTCCTTGTACGAACCTGCCCAGGCCCTGGGGTCTTCAGGAGAGACCCTTCTCTCAGTCTGACCTCCATCCCAAGCTCAGTTGGTGGGAATGAGAGAGTGGGTCTTCCTCCTCAGTGGTTGCCCCTCGACTCTTGAACTCCCTGCACAAGGAAGCTAGAATGGCTCCCTCCCTGCTGCCTGTCTAGCAGCAGGCTAAAACCTTTTTATTAAGATAGGTTTTTTAAGAAGAAGGGGATGCTGTGGTTTTTTTTAGCTTTGAATATGTTTTTATGGATTTTAACTGTGATTTTTAAAATACCATTGATATTTAATTCTTTTTAGTGTTTGTATTTTTGTAGATTTTTAATTGTATTGAAATGCTTTTAATGTAAGCTGCTTTAAGTCTCCTTGTGAAGAGAAAAGTGGAGTATTTATTAACATAATAATAATAATAATAATAATAATAATAATAATAATGGAAGACACATTTGGGTGATTCTTTCATCTCAAAATGTAGTAGGAAAAATATGAGCTTAAGCTATATCGTCACCATTGTCTATTGTTCAAAATGTGTGTTGGGAACTATGTCCCTTTTTTTCTGGATAGCAAGATAAAATCTCCCATGTGTAAGAAGCCTACATTCAGGAATGGCTTTCTTGTGTATATTATACTGACAGAAGTAAAGAAAGATATCAGGGAAGTATTTCACTGTGCTGTAGAAAAAAATAAAAACAAGGGCTGTGGAGTCTGCCACATGAAATGGCAAAATGGGGCAATGCATATGGCACTGCTTAACACCCCCCCCCCCTTCCCAGAGCTAAATTCTAATATTTGACATGCGTATGTGGCTTTCCTTATCTTCAAGAAGGGTTCTCCCTGTGATTCAAGCAGAAGAAAGTTTGTATCCAGGAGTATACCCTCAGGCAATACTAAGGTTTTGTGCTAAATGTGTCCTGAGCTAATACTTTCTGGCGTGAATTTAAATGGGAATTCATTTTCATATATCAAATGTGAAATAAATGAATAATTGAAATCTCCTGGTCTCAACCAAGTCTTCTTTGCTAAGCAAGAAACATGTGTGTATGCCCAGAGGGTAAAGCGTACCCATTTGAGTGAGATACTGTTCTTCTCATGTGAGTTCTTTCATTTCCTACAGGTGCATCATGGGTGCTGAATAGGCCATAACTGGAAAATACAAAAATAAGTTCATGGTGGTGCTGGGATCCCCCCACTGACTCGTCTCAGCCTTTTCAGGGGTAAAAACTAGTGGGAGGGATTTTCAACCATCTGTAATTTGCACACATAGTAGGCTGTGGAGGGTGTGAAAGTGTCTGCTATATATTAGTCATATAAGATACATGGCTCAGTCCACGTGCAGCTCTGGATATCTCCCTCTCCTATCCACTCTTTTACTCTGCTGCTGCAACTTTCACCTATCCCTCACCTTTCTCCTTCCCCTTTCCTCATCTTGCTTCTCTACCAGTGCTTACCTCCCTTTATTCCTGTGTTCTGCATTTCTCTCTTTTCATTCTAGGGTTATCACAGGTAATAGCTGTGCAGAAGAAGAAATTTTAGCAGGTGTTGCTTGTTATGTGGTTGTATGTCAAGCAACCAGCTTTCAGACTTTTTTGGCTTTCAGTCTGCCAACCCTACTTCCTTCCCTCCTTCCCCTTGGCCCATGTGTTAGCACCTCTTCCCTTGAACTTTTCACTCACTGCTGCACCCCCCATCATCTTTTCTTTCCCCTCACCATCTGCTGGACTTTCCTCTGCTGCTTTCCTGCCCTAATCACATCAAACACAAAGTGAGAAAGCAGAAGGCTAACTGAAGACTGTGGTACCCCTGTTGTTGAAAAAATATGTGGAAGGATGGCCAAGGAAGGAGTAGTAGAGAGGATGGTGGTGCAGAAAGGATGAGGGATACATATAGAGAGGGCAGCAATAATGGGGACTGACTGTTCTCCAAATACAGTATGCCTCTCATTTTCAGCTGGCTGAAGCTGTGGATTCAACTTAATGCCATTAAAGTACCCAAATTCCAGATCCCAACCTACCACAAAGTGGAGCTGAATGAGAGATTCCTGGAAAGGTGTTCTCTATTCAAATTTTGTAAGGTCTCCAGTTTGATTCCTATATTAATTTCCATGGGAGGCATACTATAGAGTTGTTTAGAGAATTTAGCAAAAGAGACAATATGGGCAAATGAAACTGCAAATATAGGTTCTGTGGTCACAGGGGGCCTTATTATATATTTATTTTTTCAGGTAGCAACAGTCTCCAAGGTTGCTCAACCCTGTGTTACAAAAAAGTGCATTCAAAAATGTTTATATTAGGCCAAAACGCATGTAAGAATTTGCACATTAGGAAAAATGCTTCCTCCCACTGAACAAAAGCCATACACTTTCACACCCTTTCTTTAAAGAAAGAACTTTTAAATGAATGGAGGTAGAAATGGGAGGGAACAAATTCAGGGCTGGAAAAGGAGGGAGTGATAAAAACTGCAGTTGAGAAATTTCACAGCCTTAGTCAAAAAGGGATTTAAATCTTTGCCCATTCAAAGGAATTAAGTCAAAGCACTACATTTTTCAGTTTACAAAAATAAATTCTAGGTATGTTTTTCAGGAGTTGAAGCTACTGTGAAACCAAATGAATTTTGTACAATTTTGAGTCTAGTTTCACTCTGATTTGTGAGAAATTCAGATATTTTGTAAATGTGGAAGATTTTTATTTCATTTTTACACCGGGGTCTTATGAATGCTCTGATATGTTGCTTTCTGCTACAGACCACAACTCATTGCTTCTTGGAATTAATTTAAAATATGGAGTAAATAGGAAGCAGTACATTGAGGTCTCCTTAGCTGTTTGTAATTCATCAGTGGATGCACCCAGATATTTCCAGCAACTTGTGTTTTTTTTAATCTACATCACCTCACACTAAAAATGTTGGACATTTTTCGAGGCTTTTCCAGGCTTCGCCAATCGTACCTGTCCATGGGTTTTACTGCAATTTTCACGTGCCCCACAAAATGTGACAGGAATTAATGAGCATCATAGAACTAAAATCTAAAACCTTTGGAGAGCACTAGATTGATGAAGGTCAATGTCTAAATTCTAATAAGGATAGGCTTTAAGAATTTCATTTATATAACCACTGTTTAAAACATTCTGCTCAAATACTTCAGGTCGCTGTCAATAGCTAAATAGAAAAGTAGGCCAATACCAGCTCCAGAGATCTAACCATATCTCCTAGTTAGATGTTTGAAATTTAGCTTTTGAACATCTGTGGATGAAGAAAAAAGTTGAAGAATGTAAGAGGTCACATCCTG